AATACAAAAATTAGCTGGGCGTGGTGGAGCATGTCTGTAGTCTCAGCTACTTAGGAGGCTGAGGCAGGAGAATCGTTTGAACCCGGGAGGCAGAGGTTGCAGTGAGCTGAGATCATGCCATTGCATTCCAGCCCGGTGGCAGAGTGAAACTTTGTCTCAAAGAAAAAAAAAATAACTCAGAAGAATAAAACTAAAATGTGAATTTTCACACATACAGAAGGAAATTTACCCTTCTAAAGGAAGGCAAAAAAAAAAAACTGGGGAAAGAATGAACTAAAAACATGAAAGAAGACAGCAGAACTATGACAGTCTTCACAAGAAACATAAACAGGCTCACCAACAAAAACACATTAGATTAAAAAAAATCCTGGCCAAGCACAGTGGCTCATGCCTGTAATCCCAGCACTTTGGGAGGCCAAAGGTGGATGGATCACTTGAGCCCAGGAGTTTGAGACAGCATGGGCAATATAGGGAGACCCTGTCTCTACATGGTGGCATGTGTCTGTAGTCCCGGCTACTTGGGAGGCTAAGGTGGGAGGACTGCTTGAATCCCAGAGGCAGAGGCTGCAGTGAGCCGAGACTGTGCTACTGCACATATGAGGGACAGAGCCAGACCTCGCCTAAAATAAAAAAAAAAAAAAAAAGAAAGAAAGAAAAAGAAAACACAGGCACATATGAAATGAGAAAAAGTCTCTTGGCTTTTAATGCAGTTTTTATAGAAAAAAAAGAAAGCATTGAAGCATCCTGATAAAAAAGAATACCTGATCAATAAAATACAATGATCATGAATATACAGACTCCTGAGCATACAGCTTATAAATATAAAAAGTAAAAACTGGTAAAACTACAGTGAGAAATAAATAAATCAACAAGTAACATACTCTTTTCAGAAATCAGTAGCTAAGCAAAGATAAAAGACTTGAATGACGCAAAAAAACTCAAATACATAAAGAAAAATTTTACCCAACAGTGATTAAATTTCGATACCTCAGGATATGTTTATTATAATGCAAAACATTAGAATTCTGAAACATATCCTTAAAAAAAGTTCCTCTAATCCTATGTCTAATCAGACTGAATGGACTAGAAACAAACAAACAAACTGTAAAATAACCTTTGGTTATTGAAATCATGAACATTATAAAGAATATTATGACATACTTAGAGATGAATGACACAGCACTGCGTATAAAAAATGTAACAGAGTACAGAAACCGGTTGCTTTAAACACGTTTATGGAAAAACAAAGCCTGAAACCCACTTGGTAAGTATCAAAATAAACAGAGTAAATCCGAAGGAAGACAGGAAGGAAGGAAATAAAGGGCAGAACAGAGGATGCAAATACAACCAAAACAACTAAAACCAAAAACTTATTTTTTGAATAAAATCAGTAATATAGACAAACCTCTGGCAAGTCTGATCAAGATGGTGAAAATAAACTTTAGAATGGAAAGAGACCTATACAAAAAGGTTACACAAATAAAAGAGGATTGTAAATAGCTTTATGCCTCTGATTTTGAAAACCTAGGCAAAAAGGACAAATCTCTGCCAAAATTCTGGCGCCATTTTGGCCCAGAAAATATAGTTCAGTAACAGTAATCCAGGTCCAGACAGTTTTATGGAACATTTGACCAAGCTTTCAGGAAAAGATAATCCCTATCTCATATTTTTTTTTTTCTGACATTAGAAAATGAGGGAAAGGCTTCCAAATCACTTTTTGAGACTAACATACCTTAGTTTCCAGCAAATGAACACAGAAGAAAATAATACATGGGCTCATTTTCCACCTATGACTATAGATTATAAACTTCAATGAAATACTCACCAACTGATTCCTGGAGAGCATTTTAAAAAGAATAGATTGTGGCCGGGCGCGGTGGCTCAAGCCTGCAATCCCAGCACTTTGGGAGGCTGAGGCGGGTGGATCACGAGGTCAAGAGATCGAGACCATCCTGGTCAACACAGTGAAACCCTGTCTCTACTAAAAATACAAAAAATTAGCCGGGCATGGTGGCACGTGCCTGTAATTCCAGCTACTCAGCAGGCTGAGGCAGGAGAATTGCCTGAACCCAGGAGGTGGAGGTTGCGGTGAGCCGAGATCACGCCATTGCACTCCAGCCTGGGTAACAAGAGCAAAACTCCGTCTCAAAAAAAAAAAAAAAAAAGAATAGCTTGTAATCAAGCAAGATTTATCCCAGGAATACAGGATGGTTAAATGTGAGAAAAGCCGACACTACAATCTGCTGCTACATTCACGGTCTCAAAGGAGAAACATCAAAGTTGCTCACATGCTCAAAAGCATCCGATAAGGTAAAACACTTACGTCTGACTTTTAAAAAATCAGAAAGTTGGGAATAAAGGAGACACTCCTTAGCTTGACAAATAAAAATGGTGCAGTAAGCATGATGTTTAACGAGCAAACTACAAAAGCTTTCCTTTGATTCTTACACAAGACGAGGGAGTCCACTATCACCACTGCAGTGCAACGCAGTATAAGAGGCTCAGTCACAGGATGAGAAAAAGGAATAAAAAACATAAAGGTTAGAAGAGAGGTGAGAAAAGTGGTACTTCCTTGGAAGAGAATATCAATAGATAAATATTAGAATTAAGAGAATTCAGGATGGTTGCTAAATGTCAAATTAATTAAAAAAGTGATTATAACAAATATAAAATCGAATTAAAAAATACTGAGACCCCATGCTCAGTAAAGGCCAGCTCTCTTCCTCTCCATGTGGAAGGCTACACTTTTTGGCCTCAACTTTCCTTTAATGCAACCATTCTTACACAATACTATTTTTCTTTCTTCCAGTGTCTGTTGGTAAAAGTTCCAACAGTGTCTTCCTTCCAGTGTCTGTTGGTAAAGGGCACAGTCTTTGGCTCTCAGCCCTTTATTTAATTTTTTTTTTTTTTTTTTTTTTTTTTTTTGAGATGGAGTCTCCTTCTGTCGCCCAGGCTGGAGTGCAATGTCGTGATCTTGGCTCACTGCAACTTCCACCTCTCGGGTTCAAGCAATTCTCCTGCCTCAGCCTCCCAAGTAGTTGGGATTACAGGTGCACACCACTATGCCTGGCTCATTTTTGTATTTTTAGTAGAGACAAGGTTTCACCATGTGGGTCAGGCTGGTCTTGAACTCCTGACCTCCAGATCTGCCTGCCCTGGCCTCCCAAAGTGCTGGGATTACAGGCATGAGTCACCACGTCCAGCCTATTTAGATTTTAAAACTGTGACAACCCTCCCGTTTGTCTACAGACTTGCCTTCACATCACAGTTCCAGCTGGATATTTCCATCTGTCTAATGTTCTCCCAAATTCACCTTCATGAAACCCACTACCCTCTTCTGCAACAAACGGCCCTCTGCCAACTCTTCCTTGTTAACTGGATTAGTGGTCATTAACGGTATTCTCAATGACATGCAGAAATGAGATCCCTAACTTTTATTCTTCCTTTTCTGAAGATAGTGGGAATTCAACAAATGTCTCTTGAATTAAAGACCCCCCAATGTTTTAACTCTTTTCTCCATTCTTACTGCCTCTGGCTTAATCCAAAGCCTTATTTCCCTGTGTTTATCAGGATTCTACAGCAGCCTGTGATATTCTTCCTAGTTAGTAGGGATTCCACTCAAGTAGACCAGTGACTAGCAAACTTTGCTGTAACATTTAAAGTAGAATTCTGCCACTATAATGCTTTTTTTTTTGAGATAGGGTCTTGCTCTGTTGCCCAGGCTAGAGTGCGATGGCACAAACATGGCTCACTGCAGCCTCAACCTCCTGGGCTGAAGTATTCCTCATGTCTCAGCCTTTAGAACAGCTGGGACCACAGGCACATGCCACTACACCTGGCTAATTGTTTTGTTTTTTAACTTTTTGTAGAGATGGGCTCTTGCTATGTTGCCCAGGTTGGTCTTGAATACCTGGGCTCAAGCAGTCATCTTGCCTTGGCCTCCCAAAATGCTGTGATTACAGGCATGAGCCACCATGTGCATACTGAGCCATAAACAATCCATAAACAAATGGGCATGGCTGTACTTAAACAAAATACTATATGCTAAAACAGGGGCATGCCACACATAGTGCCCAGGCCACAATTTGCTAACATCTGCATTAAACTATCAAGTTTTTCAAACCAAAACTTTTCTCATTCTTGCTAATTCAATACAGAATCCAATTACGTGGATAGAGAAAAATCTATTTTTTTCTTTTTTACATATAACACAGGTTGCCAGCTAGAAGTTAAAATTAATTACTTAAGTACGCTGCTCATTACTTTCAAGACCTTATTTTCCCTTTAAATTTATAGACCTTGTAAGAATAATTTACTGGAAATTACATCAATAGTACTGTAAAGGCTTTGAACTAAATAGGACACAGTGGAAGAGTTGGCAGCCAAGTCACCCTTCTGTCTTTAATGGAAGAACTGAGGGAATGACAGAAGCTGCCAATAAAAAATTCTGATTCAATGAAGCAGATGATGGTGACATTGATGGGCTTTTGATTTCAATAAGCAGGAAAGGCCCAGAATTCTGCTAGATGCAGGAAAAAACAGCAACGTCCCCTCTAGACCTTGAGATGAAACTTGGTTATAAAAGAAGGTATGAAAAAACAATGCAGAATGGCACCTCAGAACATCCCACTGTTCCCAACTAGAGCACAGCATGTTTTTCCCTATATTAAAATGCGGGTCTGCCAATCACTGACTTAGCCATTCTATAACGTGTACGTGTATCAAGACATCATGCATACCATAAATATACAATTTTTATTCATAATTAAAAAATGAATAGTTTTTTTCTTTCCTTGCCGGTGACCCTCAAGGTAGCAGGACTATTTCAGAGAAACCTGTAGGTCGAAATGTTGGGACTCGAATAGTCTACCTTTGCTAGAGAGTATCTGCAGAAAACCAATCTGGGAAGATTTTAAAATGGCTGATGGTACGCTGGATACATTCTGAATCTGAGTTAAGAAACCAAAAAGCTGAGTTACTAGAAGAGAATTTTGAACTACCTGGGGGTGTGTGGTAAGCAAGGAAGATCCAGAGACGTAAGACACCTTCTCATAATGAGACTGGATGATCCAGTTGGAGCTCCCAAGGGCATAGCCTGAGCTCAGAGGAGTCACCTGGACCGCACCAAAAAGCTCCTAAAATAGAACCACAGTAAGAACACGCAATGAGCTTACAGTGACAGTCACATCAGGTAATTCTGCAGAGAAAAACAACATAAATATCTTCAGTTTAAAAACAAAAATTATTTTAAAGTAAGCCAGAGACTGGGCGCAATGGCTCACACCTGTAATCCCAGCACTTTGGGAGGCTGAGGCCGGTTGATTGCATGAGCCCAGGAGTTCGAGACCAGCCCGGTAACATGGTGAAAACGCATCTCTACAAAAAAATATGAAAATTAGCTGGGCATGGTGGCGCATGCCTGTAGTCCCAGCTAACTGGGGGGCTGTGGCAGGAGGATCACTTGAGCCCGGGAAGTTGAAGTTGCAGTGAGCCGTGTTTACACCACTGCACTCGAGCCTGTGTGACAAAGTGGGACCCGTCTCAATCAATCAATAAAGTAAACAAGAAAGTTTTAAGGAAAACAGAGAGATGATGGAGATCAACTGGCAAAAAAAGAAAGCAATCCTATAATCTTTACTTGTCACCTGAAGCTTTGGCCCTGTTCCATGTCCCCAGGCACTCAAGGTTCACACATTAAAAGGGAAAGATGAAAAATCACCAAACAGACCGAAGACTCACAGGCTTTGGCTTTCCTTTTTCATTTTCAATTAGGTATTAGGACCTTGCTGTTCTGTACTGAGTAGCTGTGGCACAGGTTGACAAGCAGAAATGGGAAGGCTTATCATTTAGGTCAGAGCTCAAAAGTCATACTTGGCAAACTCTTCTCTTCCTGTTTCACTCATCCAAAATCTATAAAGTACTGTTCACTGCTCTAATGTGAACAGGATGAGATGCCTTTCTCCTGACTCCCTTCACGCTGGCCCATCGAATGCTGGCCGGTGATGGAGATGGGAGGGTGGGGAAAGAGCACCAATAAAATCCTGAGCGGAATGGAGGAAAGAACAGAGGCTCTGGATCCTCAGCGACAGAACAGTTTTAAAAAGCTAACTATAGGATCCTTCCAAACAACAACAATATGAATTCATGAATGACTGAAACATAATATGGACACTCACAATTTTCTGAGAATATCCCACCAGCTGGATTTTACTAAGAGCAGAGTTCACCTCTTGCATTGTATAGCATCTTCTCCAGGTTGATACTTCCACGGCATCCTTGAGAGGAGAAGGTAACAGCCTGCAAATAAATCACAATGTCAACTACCCGTTGAACATTTCTTCATGTTCTTCAGCATTCCTTTCTAGTAATTTGTCCATTTGATCTACAGGGTTTAATTTACTGGCATATAATTGTTCATGGGATTCCTTTACGATCATTCAAAAAAAAAAAATAGAGACATGGTCTTGCTCTGTCGCCCAATACGTGTCAACAGAAAAATGTTTTATCATTTGCTCTAAAAGAATCAGGAGGAGAACTGAAGAGTAACTTCCCTGACATTCACTGTACAATACAGGTCCAAGTACTGGAGTGAAATAAATGCATGCCATCAGCCCCTCCTCTCTCTCCTGAAACACCGAACGATAGTAGAGGGCTACACACACACTCTCACACACACACACACACACACCATTTAAGACAAAGAGAATGAGAGAAGAGACAATAACAAGGCATTTTAGAAAGTAGAAGGACAAACATATGACTTAGTAGATGCAAGAAAGTTCAATGCAAATGTTTAACTTCTACTGCAGATCCCACCAAAAGTATGGCAACTGAAAAGAACAGGTACACGTGGAACTTGAATCAACCTAAAAACAAGAGGAACTGTTGAAGAAAGAGACGAGATACTTCGAACCTTCCAGATCTCCTCAATCCTTCCATATAGCTCAGCAGCTGTCCCTTTTCCTCTCAGGCATGTTACCAGAGGTTGTTCTCTAGAGGGAGGAGAAATGGAAGTCTGGACTAGAGGAAACCACTAACTCAGGCAGCCTTCCTAAACAAAATCTCATGCATGGAGAGGAGCAAGGCTGCCAAAGCAATATGAATGAGCTTATACCCTCCATGGTAGGGGGCCGGAAGAATCTTCTCTGAAGATCTAATCAGCCTCAAAGAAAAAAAATTAATAAAAATATTCTAACACGGGGGGTTCCACAAAGAAACAGCTCAACCAGATTACTTTATGGTAAAGTCTGGAATTGAACAAGCCCTACTCATGGCACACAGACTTTCTAATTAGTTTTTCTTATTGTCCAACTCTTAAACATGAGCCAGTAGCCAAGGACTATGATAAATCTGAGAAAAGCCTCTAAAACAATAAAGGCCTCAAACAGGGGCAGAGGAGCAGGCAGGGAAATTAGAAGAAATAACTTAGGCAAGTAGAAGAAAACTTTAAAAACACCTTGTCCTTCCTATCCTTAGAAAAATAAGATAGTATAGCTACAAAATGAGAAGAGACTGCTACAAAAAAAGATTAAAAAAACCAAAAGAGCTCTTAGAAATTAAAAATACAATGTCATATAAAGAGTGAAAGCATGCCAACAAAATATCAGAATCTCAACATAAGCGAAAAAGATTGAAAAGTTACACAAACATGAACAGGGCACATACAAGAAAAACCAGCAAAGCTTATAAATGAGGTAACAGAGCTCCATGAAGAGTTAGAAAGAAAACAGCACTTTGGAAACGAAGACTAAACTACATGTTGAGCATCTCAAATCTGAAAACCTGAAACTAGCCTTCTTTAAAATCTGCACCTTTTTGAGTGCTAATGTAATGCTCAAAGGAAATGCTCACTGGAGTACTTTGGATTTCAGATTTGGGATGCTCAATCAGCAATATTCCAAAATCGTAAAAAATCAGAAGTTCGAAATACTTTGGTCTCAAGCATGTCACATGAGGGACAGTCAACCTGTAACAGAAACAGAGAGTAGATAAACACAACAGATAATGACACAAGAAAAATGGGAAGAAAAAACACCAAAAAGAAATGAAGAGACTTAAAAATTCAAAAGAAAGTAACAAATGTTGAAGGCAGATAGGCAAGATGCCACATAAGGGTAATAGTAGTCCCTAATAGAAAAGCAAATGAGACAATAAAAGTTAATACTCATAATATTCAAACCGAGTGCAACAATAAAAATTAATATTTATACTACCCAATTACTAAATGCTATAATTCCTAAAAGAAAGAGACATGAAACTACACACTATAAGAACGTAGTGCACTCTTGAGAATACTGACCCAGAACAGTGGACACCAGACATACTCTAGGAAAATATTTAGACTATAAGCAAAGCTTTGGGATCTAGGCAAAAAGAGCAAGAAACTTACAAGGAAAGAAAATGAGGTCTTATTAGCATTTTTCACAGCAATGTTTAATACCAGAACAAAATACGATAACATACTTAAGATATTCAAACAAAGAAAATACAAGCCAAGGACTATACATCTAGCAAAACTGACTTTCAAAGCCAAAGAGCACAGATAAACAATTATGAACATATGGGAGTCCAGGGAATATTGTTCTTGTGATCCCACCCTGAGAAATCTACTGAAGACTGAGTTTCAGACAATCAGAATGAAGAAGAAACATCAGCACACATCGGCCAGTGGTGAGCATTAAATATACAGTTAATTGTAGAAGACAGACTAAATGAACGTGAAAAGGAAAGGAGGATAGTATGTAATGAATATATACTTTGACAACACAGATACGGTCAAAGTGTAAAAAAAAAAAAAAGTGGGGGAAAATATACATGCTCTGTTCTCCAAAGGGTCCTAGAAACAATGACCAATTTAGTAGCAATGAGCATTGCTAACAACCATAATGGGATCTTAAAATTCCACTTTTCACTGAAGAAATCAGGGTTTCTTGGAGAAATGGGTAATTCAGGGCAGAGAATGCACAAGAAGAGGCTTAAACATCCTTCTATCACAGATGGCAAGGAAACAATAAAAGACTATGAGGGTCAGAATAAAAGGACCCAGGCGACAATTAGTCCATTTTTACGCTGCTAATAAAGACATAACTGAGACGGGGAAGAAAAATACGTTTAATTGGATTTATAGTTCCACATGGCTGGGAAGGCCTCAGAATCATGGTGGGAGGTGAAAGGTATTTCTTACATGGCGGCGGCAAGAGAAAATGAGGAAGCAGCAAAAGTGGAAGCCCCCGATGAACCCATCAGATACTGCGAGACTTCTTCACTATTATAAGAATTGCATGGGAAAAACAAGTCCCTCCCACAACATGTGGGAATTCTGGGAGATACAATTCAAGTTGAGATTTGGGTGAGGACTCAGCCAAACCATATCACTCTGCCCCTGGCCCCTCCAAATCTTATGTCTTCACATTTCAAAACCAATCATTCCTTCTCAACAGTCCTCTAAAGTCTTAACTCATTTTAGCATTAACCCAAAAGTCCACAGTCCAAAATCTCATCTGAGACAAGGCTAGTCCCCTCTGCCTATGATTCTGTAAAATTAAAAGCAAACTATTTGCTTCCTAGATACAATGGGGTACATGAATTGAGTAAATACAGCCATTCCAAATGGGAGAAATTGGCCAAAACAAGGGGGTTACAGGCCCCATGCAAGTTCAAAATCCAGCAGGGCAAATTTTAAAGCTCCAAAATGATCTCCTTTGACTCCAGCTCTCACATCCAGGTCATGCTGATGCAAGAGGTGGGTTCCCATGGTCTCGGGCAGCTCTGCCCCTGTGGCTTTGCAGGGTACAGCCCCACTCTGGCTGCTTTCACCGGGTAGTACTGAGTGTCTGCCACCTTTCCAGGTGCACCATGCAAGCTGTGGTGGATATACCATTCTGGGGTCTGGAGGATGGTGGCCCTTTTCTCATAGCTCTGCTAGGCAGTGCCCCAGTAGGGACTCTGTGTGTGGGGGCTCCAACCCCACATTTCTCTTCTCTACTGCCCTAGCAGAGCTTCTCCATGAGGACCCTACTCCTGCAGTGAACTTCTGCCTGGGCATCCAGGCATTTCCATACATCTTTTGAAATCTACCTGAAGGTTCCCAAACCTCAAATTCTTGACTTCTGTGCACCTGCAGGCTCAACACCACATGGAAGCTGCTAAAGCTTGGGCTTCCACTCTGGTTTTTCTTTTTTTTTTTTTTGAGACAGAATTTCGTTCTTGTTGCCCAGGCTAGAATGCAATGGCATGATCGTGACTTACTGCAACCTCTGCCTCCCAGCTTCAAGCGATTCTCTTGCCTCAGCCTCCTGAGTATCTGGACTTACAGGCACATGCCACCACGCCTGCCTAATTTTTGTATTTTTAGTAGAGATGGAGTTTCACTATGTTGGCTAGGCTAGTCTTGAACTCCTGACCTCAGGTGATCTGCCCACCTCAGCCTCTCAAAGTGTTGGGATTACAAACGTAAGCCACTGCACTTGGCCTGGGGCTTCCACCCTATGATGCCATAGCTCAAGCTCTATATTAGCCCCTTTCAGCCACAGCTGGAGAGGCTAGGACACAGGGCACCAAGTCTCTAGGATGACCACAGCACAGGGACTCTGGGCCTGGCCCACAAAACCACTTTTTCCTCTTGGACCTCTGGGCCTGTGACAGGAGGGGCTACCATGAAGGCCTCTGACATTCCCTGGTGACCTTTTCCCCATGATCTTAGGGATTAACATTAGGCTCCTTGCTACTTATACAAATTCTGCATCCAGCTTGAATTTCTCCTCAGAAAATGGGTTTTTCTTTTCTTACTGCAACGTCAGACTGCAAATTATCTGAACTTTTATGTTCTGTTTCCCTTTTAAAATGGAATGCTGGGCCGGGTGCAGTGGCTCACGCCTGTAATCCCAGCACTCTGGGAGGCCAAGGCAGGTGGATCACCTAAGGTCAGGAGTTTGAAACTTGCCTGGCGAACATGGTGAAACCTCATCTCTACTAAAAATATAAACATTAGCCTGGTGCAGTGGTGGGCTCCTATAATCCCAGCTTCTAGGGAGGCTGAGGCAGGAGAATTGCTTGAACCCAGGAGGTAGAGATTGCAGTGAGCCCAGATCATGCCATTGCACTCCAGCCAGGGCGACAGAGCAAGACTCCATCTCAAAAAACAACAACAAAAAAACCCAAAACAGAATGTTTTTTAGCAACACCCAAGTCACCTTTTGAATGCTTTGCTACTTAGAAATTTCTTCCACCAGATACCCTAAATCATCTCTTAAGTTCAAAGTTCTACAAATCTCTAGGGCAGGGGTAAAATGGCCCCA